GAGATTTCTAGTTTTTGTGTCGAATGTCGAATGTCTGGTTGGGTTGTACCCTGTCTGGTGTAAAATCTTTGGGGCACTATGAGATTTGGGACTAAGTGGATCATCGATTATCGTAATTCTGCCCAATATTGGGGTATTGTTCGTTTTTAAGCAAACGAAGCGAGCAGGTTAGGTTAGTTTTACTAGGTATGCGGAAAGCGTTGCTATTCCAGCTAGCAATCCTAGCTAGCAGTCCTAGCTAGCAATCCTAGCTAGCAGTCCTAGCTAGCATCCTAGCTAGCCCAGTCCTAGCTAGATCCTAGCTAGCAATCCTAGCTAGACACTAGAAATCTCATGTCACCCCCCAAAAAATTCCCGCCATGGGGAAAAGTGAGACAAAGTCTTAGAATGCCCTGAAACGTCCAAAAATGCAATAAAAAATTTTGACCTTGACCTCAATTTCCGGTCATACTAGGTCATTTAGAGGGGTGTTGTAATGACTAATTATGTTCACTGGAACAAGGTCATCAACATAAAAAAATTGGAATTACAAAAAAAAAAATATATCACGTCCGTTGTGTAATCCCCTTTTGGAGTTAGAGAACCGAGGCTTGCAACAGCCTGCTTATTTCATTAATTTTTAATTTTTTTTCCTAACAGCCTTATTTCATTAATTTTTAATTTTTTTGCCTAACAGCCTTATTTCATTAATTTTTAATTTTTTTTCTCCTAACAGCCTTATTTCATAAATTGTAATTTTTTTTTGTCGCGTGAGTTGTATCTCATCTCGCGCCAATTAGCAAAAAGGCACCCATTTTTGAGGGGCAAAAAAGCAAAAACCTATCAGTACAGCTTGCTTAGCCCGAACCAGGATTGATTAGTAAACTCATGTTTGTCAGAATGTTGTACTATTTTTCACTAGTTCTTGCATTAACTAGCGTAACTTGGTAGTATTGCTTGGCACCAAATACCACGAGCAGTGGAGGCTGTTCGTATAAAAATTTCGAAATTCAACCGTCCTAAATTCTAATCTAAGTTATTTTTGACTCCTCACTAAATTTTAGCTGAATATATAAACTCTTAGAAATCGGTATGGGCACCCTTAGTGCCCCTCTGGTTACTTTTTGTTCATCTTTGACTTCATATAATTTCATGAGAAGCCATTAAGTATCACCGTTCCAAATTTCAGCTTTTTACGACAAGTTATGAAAATCGGTATGGGTCACCCAACTGGTCTCGGCATGTAAAAATTTTACCAATTTCACTTCATATTCTTCCATTAGGGGCCATTAGCAGCCTCTATACCAAATTTCAGCTCGATTGAATAATTTTGAAAAATCGGTATGGGTCACCCCCTCGGCCACCTCAGGTTGAATAATTTTCCAATTTCACTTCATATTATTTCATTTGGAGCCATTAGCAACCTCTGTACCAAATTTTAGCTTTCTACGACCATTCTGAAATTTTGGTGCATCAAACCCCACCCACTCCGATGACCCCCACCGGTCAACCACTTGACCGATTTGGCCCATCTTCGAACTCGTTTCCTAACTTTGTCCAATACACATGTGGTAAAAATTTCAAGTCAATCGGTCAACTCGTTCGAGAGCTATCGAAAGACAGACGGACAGACAGACAGACGGACATGACAATTACATAAGCCCTGGTTCGGGCTAAAAAGGCATTGCCTTTTTGCTCTGCACACACTTATTATACAGAAGCCGCCATAGAGTTATATGTATAATATACGGTAGCAATCAAGGGAGAAATACAGCTAGAAATTCGTAATTAGCGAAGAAACATTTATTTCGTGCCAAAATGACGACCTATCGGACTCATATATGCAAAAGCATGGAGAAAGTTGTGTTTCGGTATGTGCTAACTTGCTCACCACAAAAAATAACCACGAACGACAAGGAAGACTGCACTTACTCCTCAGGTATCATTTTACTCCGACAATTTAACTTTGCATGAAACCAATCGCATGGAAACTCTCTTGGGGGACATTCGCAACAGCACCAAAAAAAACAGGAAATGATCAAACAAACACCCCTAAAATGCACCCCTCGTAAAAACTTGTATGCATAAACTGCCATGCGGTGCGAACCAATAATCAATTTTCGCCTTAGAAAAAAAATCCACATTATTTGCATCATCGGAAAAACCCAACAGGCAGGCAGATAAAATTTTTGGAACTAGGAAGAAGCCCCCCATGTGAAAACGTAGCATCAATATATAGCGTGGGTTTGCTAGAGCGTCCGTCAACAAAGACCAAAATTTCTGGGATCCAATTTATTGGGTCTGGGGATAATGAATAGTTGTGTTTACCCTTTTTTAACACCATAAAATTACTGTACAAATTGGATCATAATAATACACACAAGTGAATGATTTGTTTACTGGAGATGTCCTTGCCAGGACACACGAACTACAAGCTGTGATTGAACTACCCAGTAACTCAAATAAATAAGTCCGATGATAAACAAAAGACCGCACGTGTGCAAAATGCACAATCTAACGGAGAGAAGATGTATAATCTATAATAAATCGATTACCAGCCCACACAATTAGGGCGAGACCTGCAACTTGGAATTTGCAACTGGAACTTTAATTTTGCAGGTGTAACTGGAATTTTGCATCAGCTTCTGATCTTCATCACTTACAATTAGTCATGACTCCATCTCATTCAATGCTATCTCTGTGTGGCATGACATTCCACTCAATCACGTTTGTTGACATCTATTTGATTGAAAAGCGAAACTGCTACATATATCATTATTTGTATGCATGTTGGTTCAACCTAAGGCCTAAATATGTAAGACATTATCATTTAGCTTGACAGAAAAAAATGAGTCCATGGTTAAATAAATAACTACCGGCACTATATGTTTTCATAATTTCTTAAAACTTGCATGTTCGATCCGAACCAGATCAGTCCTAATTACACTGCGGACGAACAATCACTAACCAGCACGACCTACCCCTAACCTAACCAAAAACTCCCAAAATGACTATTTCATCTCTAACTTGCATTATCCTCCTGCTAGGATCATGCTGTTTTCTCAGCCATGCCCAACAGGTATGGGGGCACTTAGTGCTCGGCACGAGACGAGACGAGACGAGATTGCCTTGTCTCGTCTCGTCTCGAAAGTGACTCGAGACGAAGTAATCGAGACGAGACGAGATGACGATTTTGTCATCTCGTCTCGTCTCGAATCTCGTCTCGATCGAGACGAGATGTCTCGACATTCATCCATGTTTTTCAAAATATCTTTTGTATTCTTCAGATAATTACAAAATACAAATACACAAACTGCAAATATTTAGAATATTATTAATTGGCCTTGTATTCCTTATATAGTAAACTACATACTAGTAGTTTACACAAAAAAATAAAGGATAAATCTTAATCGTAAGCTAGTAACGGGATGACAAAATTTTACGACGCTTCCATTGAGTCATTTCACGTCAATTTTCGTTAGTACGTAAACACGTAAACTTACTAACCTTACGACCTTTTGACAAACGTACCAATATCTCTTGTATGTGATTTTTACCCAGATAAGTCAAATTTTTGGTTCGTAAGATGATCTTCGCAGGCTTATGAACATAGAATATAAAGAATTAGAAGAAGCACTCTGCTCTTTGTTAAGCAAGTAAGGGGGATGACTCTCCACGTCACATACGAGAGGTCGCCAGAGGCCCTCAGGCCCTCAATGTTAAACTAAATGGCAAACTCGCAGAGTTAACTCCTACTCCATCTGTGAGTGACGTGGAACATCTCTTTCTGTATCTTTTATATCGTGGTGGTTAATTACTCGTCGCTAGAGCCCTCACTAATACTATCTTTTATGCATTTTGTATTTACCAATGCTAAGATACTACCATCGCTTATGAACGTAATTACGAGCTTACGAAGGCTAACATGAAATACCTGAATGACTCGTAACCGTCATAGCTTATGTTACTACATATACAAAGAATACTTGGGATATGGATACGAAGGAATCGTTACCCGCAGTATATACAATTTATAATTGGAGTTATATAGTTAGTGTCATATTTGAGTGTCTTTTACGTAAAAATCAGAATATTTGCAGATTGGTTAAAGTTTTGATCATAATTATTCGTTTTATCTATTGTCTCCAAAAAAAATTTTGAAGGATACTGCATTTCCCAAAGCTGCTCGCTCCTTGCAGAAGGCTAGAGGACGGAGAATTTGCTGCTAAATTTCTAAATTTTTGATGTATCGAGACGTCTCGTCTCGACCGAGATTTGTCGAGACGAGATGGCGTTGGTCTCGTCTCGATCTCGTTCGTCCCGAAATCTTTCGAGACGAAAAAGTTGGTCTCGTCTCGTCTCGTATCTCGTCTCGTCTCGTATCTCGTCTCGTCTCGTATCTCGTCTCGTCTCGTATCTCGTCTCGTCTCGAAATTTTCGAGATGGTCTCGTCTCGCGCCGAGCACTAGGGGCACTGTATTATTCCTCAAGTTACTGACTGGATAATTCAAGTATTAAAATTTTCCGTTGTTCCAATGTAAAATTCCTAGTTTACCAGCCAATGTGACAAGCCAAGGAATGCAAATCTACCATTTTGCGACTCCAGCTTGCCCACAGAAGCTCGCGTGTCGGATTTGATCTTTCGCCTCACCTTGGCCGAGAAGATTGGTCTGCTCGTTCACGAGACGGAGGGTGCCACTCAAAACGTGGATCTGGACTCGTACAACTGGTGGAACGAGGGTCTCAAAGGAGTCGCCGATGCGCCAGGGGCTCATTTCCGACCCCCCACGGAATACTCGACCGTGTTCCCACAACCCATCAACCTTGCTCCTCCTTCAGTAAAGAACTCTTCTTCCAAGTCGGCAACATAACGGGGAACGAAGCAAGGTTTTAAACAATAAATACTTAAAGCGAAAATTGCACACATTTCTGAACAATCAATATTGCAGAGCATTCTTCAACGTGGGGAATGGAGGGCTGACGTACTGGTCACCAAACATAAACATCTACCGCGACCCCAGATGGGGGAGAGGTCACGAAACCCCGGAGAAGATCCACGCCTCAGTACGGAATTCGCACGTTACTTCATTCGCGGATTGCAGGGTGACGAATCTGCAAATGGATTCCTCAAGACTTCCGCGTGCTGCAAACATTTCGCCGCACACTCGCTGGAGAACGATAGATTCACCTTTGACGCTGTTGTCAACGAGCAGGACATGGCGGACACGTACCTCCCCGTGTTCAGGAGTTGTGTACAAGAGGTAGGCTTTTCTTTTGAGGGTTGCTCAGAAAACTCAGGCTACACGTTCGGAAATTTATCTGTTCTTATCTTATTTGCATATTTGTAGTCGGACGTGAGCTGTATCATGTGTGCTTACTCGGCCATTAACGGAATCCCCGCCTGCGCAGATAAAGGCCTACTGACCGACAAGATCCGAGGGGAGTGGGGTTTCGAGGGCTATATCGTGTCCGACTGCGGGGCGGTCGACTTTGTCCAAAGGACCCACAACTACACCCAGTTCCCCAACGAGACCTGCCACGCCGTTCTAGACGCCGGGGTCGACATCGAGTGCTACGCCTACAACGGTCCCTTCTTCACCCGCTACTTGGGAGACGCCGTGGCGGAAGGGGCAGTCACCCCGGCCATGCTGGATACCGCGCTCGCCAACGGGTTCAGGGTCCTCATGCGGCTCGGATACTTTGAAAAGAATGCGACCCGTCCCTTCACCGACCTTCTGCCACCCATCGTGGACAGCCAACCTCATCGAGACGCCGCCTTGGCCGCGGCCCGACAAAGTATCGTCCTCCTTAAGAACTCCCCCGCCTTGGGGAAGGCAGGCAAGGCCCCACTACCCGTTACTTTGGGGGCACAAAAACAAGGCACGATGGCCTTGATCGGACCACACCTGAACGCCTCGAGAGCCTTCTTGGCCAACTACCATGGAATTCCTTCCTCCATCTCGACCCCATTGAGTGCCATCCGAGCCTCCTTTCCCAACGCCCAGTACGAATTCGGCTGCGACTTGATATCCACAACGAACCCGCATTTGGATGAGGCCGCCGCCCTGGCCGCGATCTCCTCCCCCATCGTTCTCTTTGTGGGGATCAACGCTGCGCAGTTTGAGGAGGAGGGGGTCGAGTATGAAGAGCATGACAGGTTAAACTTGACCCTGACAGGGTTGCAGCCTGAACTCATCCGAACTGTCCTAGCCGCCGCGAGGGAGCCCGTGATCCTCTTCGTGGTCTCGGGTGGCGTGGTGGACCTGTCCGAGTGGAAGGATGATCCCCGAGTGGGAGCCATCATCTGGGCGGGATATCTGGGGCAGGCGGGCGGAGAGGCGATAGCAGACGTCCTTTTCGGCCGGTACAATCCGTCGGGACGCCTGGCACAAACGTTCTACTCGAACGAAGTGATCACCCAGTTTGAGAAGTATGATATGAACATGCGCCCCACGGAGGGAACGTCGACGGGGAGGACGTATCGTTTTTACGAGGGGACGCCCGTCTATCCATTCGGGTTCGGATTGTCCTACACAACCTTCGGGTATAGCATTCTTAACTTGCCCCCTATCCTTGAAATACCGACGATCGGAGGAGTGGATCAAGACTGCGCAGTGATGGTCACTCTGGCCGTGAGGAACGTGGGGGTGACTGCGGGGGATCACTCGGTCCTCTGGTTTCTCGCCCCACCCAACGCAGGACAGGGAGGAAGACCAATTAGGGATTTGCTCGATTTTGAAAAACTGGAGAATATTTCAGCGAATGAGGTGAGGGAGGCAAACCTTTGTCTGAATCGGGACCACTTCGTCCTGGCGAATGAGGCAGGGGAGTGGGAAGTTGTTCCAGGGGACTGGACCCTGCAGGTGGGACAATTGGAGAGAGTTATTCGTGTTGCCGTTTAAATATCAAAATTCATGGTTATGACTTGTTGTCAATAAATTAAATCATGTTTGTCCGACTCTGACTCGCACGAAGCTATTCATAAAATTGCATACATATCCGTATCCTAAGGTGCCCTCAACATGTGCCCCTTATCATATTTGGCGTAAAGGGTTTACTCAAGCAAAATACAAGAAATGATATGCCTATGCTATTTTGGCCTAATAGTTTTTTATGAAGAAATTGTGATCGAAAATTTGATTAATGATGAAATTTTCTGCAGCATAAAACCAATCAATCTTTAAATCCATTTTATTTTAAGACCCGTCAGTAGTACAAGTGTCTAGGTTTTTTCGCCAAAGATTTCTCGCCCGCTTTATTTCTTATGGGGAAATCCTTGGCTAGGTTTTTTCGCCAAAGATTTCTCGCCCGCTTTATTTCTTATGGGGAAATCCTTGGCTAGGTTTTCTCGCCAAGGATTTCTCGCCCGCTTTATTTCTTATGGGAGAAGCCAAAGATTTCTCGCCCGCTTTATTTCTTATGGGAGAAGCCAAAGATTTCTCGCCCGCTTTATTTCTTATGGGAGAAGCCAAAGATTTCTCACCCACTTTATTTCTTATGGGAGAAGCCAAAGATTTCTCGCCCGCTTTATTTCTTATGGGAGAAGCCACGGATTTCTCGCCCACTCTATTTCTTATGGGAAAAAAGACGGGTCCTCATCACACACTTCTTATGAGGAAAAAGAGGGCTCCTCGCCACATACTTTTCCTTACGGGAAAAAATACGGGTTCTCGCCACCATACATTGCCTTATGAGGGAAAAAGACGGTTAGGGCTTCTCGCCACAAGGCCTTTATAGCATGGGTATGTATTGCAAGGATATGCTGACTGCTTATAGTAACCAAAGTCTCAGATGTATTTTCATGTGTCGAAAAATAATGGCGGGACTTCTCAAATTGCCCCAAATATCTCAGTTTACCCCCGTGCCATAGATTATCCTGGTGTCTCTGATTACCCCAAATTACTAAAATTACCCAAAATCTCAAATTACCCCAACAATGTATTTCTTATGGAAAAAAATCTTTCAGATGGGGGTACATGGGTTGAGAAGAAATGATGGCGGGACGTTTGAGACTAAATTATCAAAAATGTCTCAATTTACCCTATTTGTCTCATTTTATTCAAGTATCTCAATTTACCCCAATTGTCTCAAATTCCCCACTTATCTTAAAAACCATCAACGAATCATTTTACCTCTATATAGACAAGTAATACTCATTCAATTCTTAGTTACTCGCAGAGTCTTCAAGTTTAAAAATGCCTTTCTACTGTGTGCCCAAACATTTAGTTTGGTTGAGCCTTTTTATCTTGGCATTTGATATAACGTTACTCGTAATAATCTGCTCATATTCTATAATTGAAAGTGGAAAATCAAACCAAACCGGTTACTCATGGCAACCAAAATCACAGATGTGTTTTCATGTGCCAATAAATATTGGCGGGACGACTCAATTACCCCAAAATTTCTCGAATTGCCCCAAATGTATCAATTTACCCCCTGTGTCATTGATTTTCATGTCTCAATATACCCCAAATGACTAAAACTACCCCCAAAATCTCAAATTACCCCAATAATGTATTTCTTATGGGAAAAAATTTTTCGGTTGGGTGTACATGGGTTAGTAAGAAATGATGGCGGGACATTGAGACTTGAGGACCATAATAGACGCTATTACATTTTTCACATGCTCCCCAAACGTTAACATTTTCTCCTCTTGGGTTTGGGGGAGTTCTAGAAACTGCATCAATTTTGTTAAGACATTCATCGAATCTTCATTGCTTAGCATCAATTCTACTCCATGAATATGATACTCAGAAAGTGGTTCACCCCAAAAATCTACACGGTCAGGCTTATGCAATGTCCGACACACCTTACAGCATTCACCAGAAGTTCCACTTGCCTGACTTTCTGTATCATCTTCTCCCTCTTCTTCGTCCGAAGACGCGTCTGAACTTGAATCTTGACTGTCCCCTTCTCTACTACAATTTGACAGCTTGTTCCTTCTTCCACCTCGAGATCGTCTTTCTTTTTTTGCTTGGGGTTCATCATCGGAGCTAGTTTTAGTTGGAAATGATGTGTCCGCTGAGTCATCCTGGTTCGTTTCAGCATCATCAGAATCAAACAACGTCACTTTGTGAAACCCAGTTTTATGAGTACTTAAAGCCTGTTCAGAATTGAAGTGTCTGGAGCAGCGACTACATTTGTAAACCATCTTAATATCACCTCTCTAGGTCAACTGTCTGACGATAACAGCAATCTCTTCTTTTATACTGGTCCGAAATTATTGAGCCATCTGAAAGATTTTATGATTTGAGGTAAATTCATATGTTTACACATGTAATTACATATGCACACATGTGTACACGCACAAATGTATGCATATGTGCACACACATATGTATACATATGTACACATATGTACACATACATATGTATACATATGTACACATTTTGGCAAATGGGGAGGTGCCTCAAAAGCTCTACCTCCATATGATCAATTGATTTGATTTTCCACCTCACTCAGTCCAACCCTACTTAATTTGGGGGTTAGGTTTAATTAAAATAAAAATTTGATTGCAAAGTATGATAATTAAATATGAATGAGTGGAACGAGGTGCAACTTTAGGCTCAAGTCAAGATTTGAGCCTAAAGTATGAGAGACTGAAGAAGTCTCTCATTTGCACCACGTTGTTTGATTCTGATGATGCTGAAACGAACCAGGATGACTCAGCGGACACATCATTTCCAACTAAACTAGCTCCGATGATGAACCCCAAGCAAAAAAAGAAAGACGATCTCGAGGTGGAAGAAGGAACAAGCTGTCAAATTGTAGTAGAGAAGGGGACAGTCAAGATTCAAGTTCAGACGCGTCTTCGGACGAAGAAGAGGGAGAAGATGATACAGAAGTCAGGCAAGTGGAACTTCTGGTGAATGCTGTAAGGTGTGTCGGACATTGCATAAGCCTGACCGTGTAGATTTTTGGGGTGAACCACTTTCTGAGTATCATATTCATGGAGTAGAATTGATGCTAAGCAATGAAGATTCGATGAATGTCTTAACAAAATTGATGCAGTTTCTAGAACTCCCCCAAACCCAAGAGGAGAAAATGTTAACGTTTGGGGAGCATGTGAAAAATGTAATAGCGTCTATTATGCAGGCGGCAAAGAATGGAGAAATGGTTGTGACTCGTAAATTACTTACTGATATCGTAAGATCATCTGAAGGTCTCCCAAATGATAATCCATACGCTTGATTACCAGTAAGAAAACGTTGAAACCTACTCAATGCTAAATGAACAACTGTCCACTTCCAAATTACTCAAAATAAAAGATCAAAAACCTTCTAATTCTTGTGCAAAGCAACAACATTGTCTTTTAATTCGGCTTAAAAATCAAGTGGTTTTAGTGTTTTGTTGTTAACGCAATAAAGTTAAAGGGAGATAATTTTTCTAAAAGTTTGTGTGCTGTGTACTTAGGCACTGCCTGACCTACATATCCCAACTTTACTTATGATAATAAATAAATGGGAAAGGTTTACATTAGACAAGAACCCAGTCAAATTTACTGCGCATAATAAATAAACACACAATTTTAAGAATTATTTAACAAATCTTTGACAATAAATGCTAATTATAAATACTTCTGATCTGTTATTTCATCTCATTACTGCAAACAATTTTCATATATAATTTTTCATGTTTTTAAACAATAAGTTTTTTCATGCGTGAATATCATATTTTCACAAATAACGCTATACTTTTGTAGATAAACCTTCATAAGTACTATTTTAAACGTTGGTGAAAAATTGTGTCATCATTAGTATCACCACTAGCTTCAGAAAACGTTTCACTCTACCTTTTTTCAATCTTTTTCTCGTAACTTGCTTATTAGTATCAACACTACCACCAACAAAAAGGTCGAACTCCACCTTTTCAACCTTTTCTATCCATAATAAAACGTAAAGCATAGGAGGGGACATAACAAATACTGGCATACCCTTACATGATGACTTACTACACCATACACATACCTTGGTCTCATAACAAAGGTGTCTATCCTTAAACGCTATGGGAATAAGTTCTCCATAAGAAATGTATTGTAAGGAAGAGCCGTTGGGCGGAGCCGTAGAAAAGGCTCGGGGTAATTTGGAATATTTGGGGTGCTTTGAAATATTTAATTGGGGTAAATTGAGGTATTTGGATAAATTGGGATACTTGAATAAATTGAGACAAATGGGGTAACATGAGACATTTGGGCGTAAATGACACACTTGGATAATTTGGGAGAATATAAATTGAGACCTCAAGTCTCAATGTCCCGCCATCATTTCTTACTAACCCATGTACACCCAACGAAGGATTTTTTTCCATAAGAAATACATTATTGGGGTAATTTGAGATTTTGGGGGTAGTTTTAGTCATTTGGGGTATATTGAGACAACATGAAAATCAATGACACAGGGGGTAAATTGATACATTTGGGGCAATTCGAGAATTTTGGGTAATTTGAGTCGTCCCGCCAATATTTATTGGCACATGAAAACACATCTGTGATTTTGGTTGCCATGAGTAACCGGTTTGGTTTGATTTTCCACTTTCAATTATAGAATATGAGCAGATTATTACGAGTAACGTTATATCAAATGCCAAGATAAAAGGGCTCAACCAAACTAAATGTTGGGCACACAGTAGAAAGGCATTTTTAAACTTGAAGACTCTGCGAGTAACTTAGAATTGAATGAGTATTACTTGTCTATATAGAGGTAAAATGATTCGTTGATGGTTTTTAAGATAAGTGGGGAATTTGAGACAATTGGGGTAAATTGAGATACTTGAATAAAATGAGACAAATAGGGTAAATTGAGACATTTTTGATAATTTAGTCTCAAACGTCCCGCCATCATTTCTTCTCAACCCATGTACCCCCATCTGAAAGATTTTTTTCCATAAGAAATACATTGTTGGGGTAATTTGAGATTTTGGGTAATTTTAGTAATTTGGGGTAATCAGAGACACCAGGATAATCTATGGCACGGGGGTAAACTGAGATATTTGGGGCAATTTGAGAAGTCCCGCCATTATTTTTCGACACAATGAAAATACATCTGAGACTTTGGTTACTATAAGCAGTCAGCATATCCTTGCAATACATACCCATGCTATAAAGGCCTTGTGGCGAGAAGCCCTAACCGTCTTTTTCCCTCATAAGGCAATGTATGGTGGCGAGAACCCGTATTTTTTCCGTAAGGAAAAGTATGTGGCGAGGAGCCCTCTTTTTCCTCATAAGAAGTGTGTGATGAGGACCGTCTTTTTTCCCATAAGAAATAAAGTGGGTGAGAAATCCGTGGCTTCTCCCATAAGAAATAAAGCGGGCGAGAAATCTTTGGCTTCTCCCATAAGAAATAAAGCGGGGCGAGAAATCTTTGGCTTCTCCCATAAGAAATAAAGCGGGCGAGAAATCTTTGGCTTCTCCATAAGAAATAAGCGGCTATAAGCAGTCAGCATATCCTTGCAATACATACCCATGCTATAAAGGCCTTGTGGCGAGAAGCCCTTTTTTTCTCAAGTATTCAATTCAGTTTAAACTTAATCCATTTCTAGTAAATAAATAAATAATGATACAAAACTAGTTCATCTCAAAGTCACAGAAATATGTCAAAAACTTAAGTCTTAAAAAAATATCGAGTCAATAATGAATAACGAAAAAAAGAAATTGCTAATTCATAAATACAAAAACTAAATACTAATCCACTAATTTTGGAATTAATTGGATGTAAACGTTTAATTAGGATTATTTGAAGCTTAAATGGAACTAAACAATGAATATTTCGCTTCTTCTTCGGTATTAATTAATTTTAATTGCGATTATTAAGCCACTAATTTACTTGCTGCGTGTGAGTTAGTAAAAATCTTCTGTTCTGCATGTGTCATTCTTCGTTAGTAAGTACTAAGTATTGCGTTCAATTAGTGAACTTTTTTTCACGCATTGTTATCCCCTGCCCCCATTTTCCTGTCGAGATCTTTGAGGATGCTTGGCGTCGGACTGGCGCTGTTTCCTCTGTGTCCTTCTTCACAACTGCTGTTGCTGCGTCCACTGCTGCGACTGGCGGAAATGTCCCGAGTCGACTCTTCGTACCGGGCTTGATGGCGTTGATAGATTGGGGCGAGGATGAAAAATTGGAGATGAAGATCCCACCCCAGCGATCCAAAATGACCAGGCGTACTTTCCCGTGTAGTCGTAGAGGAGGCCTGCACAGGGAGAAATGAGGGGTTAGCACCAGTCACAAATTCTAGTCAAATTTATGAAGAAATGAATGTAAAATACCAGCAATGGGTGGTCCGATCAGGTTTCCGATCCCTTGCACAAGTAGGAGAAGACCGTACGCGGGGGTAAACTTTTCCAAACTGACGACCTAAACGTTAAGCAGGTAATTATTAGTTATCATTCACTTTCACTAATTAATTACGTGTGGCTATAATTTTTCTCTCGTTACTTGAAGTAGGATGACGGGTGTGAGTGAGTAATTTGCCGCAATCATCAAGCCAAACACGCGCAGAGCAAGACGAGGAAGTAGTAGGTGAGCCCCATGCTGAACAACTTCCCAAAGAGGCAGGGCATCAGGCCGGTCACGATGCCGCAAATGGAAATACACAGGCCATAAATCGTCACGGAATTTGCCCACTTCTTGTCCCCCAAATACCCCAAAATTATCTGCAAAACGAAATCACAAATAAAGTTGAATAATAATAATTAATACTTAATTTCCTAATTTAACGGATTAAATTTCTTTACATTTCCGAAAACGGTTAAAAGTCCGATCGTACTTCCCAACATGGCTCCTTCTCCTTCCGAGTAGCCCAAGCCCGTGGCAGTGTCGGCAAGAAAGGTCAATGGGATCTCATACCTGGGAGGCAAAGAGGAAATGTGCATAAGTACTTATCCCAATTTTACTTGGCGCACTCTCCACCCACCACAATTTACTTACCACATGTACAAGAGAAAATTCGACATGATGAACAAAACGAATCTGGTATTTTTCAAGTGATCCAGGGCAAAGATTTCTTGCATCCAGACGTAATATCCTGCAGGGCGGCTTTCCACTCCTAAATCAATTACAATCACTCAATAATTCTCCTCGACTAAATTAACCCGAATAATAAATAACTCACGGGCGTATTATCATCCGCCGTGGCTACCGAAATGATATCCGGACATGAGTCGCAGGTCGGAGGGGGCGCATTCGGCTTCTCTTCAAATTCAGCACTGCGCACGATACGTTAAAGAATTGCGATGATTCCCCCAATTCCTAGTCATTAGTCATTATTAAAATAATTAATCAATCAATTAGCTATTATTCATTAAACCTGGACCCACATACATACCTCGTATGCTGCACAAGATTGTTTCTCATCCCTGCTTCTCCAATGTGCTCATGTTTCCTGCTCCTCCGTTACAACTGCTGTTTACGCCATTCTTCTCATTGTTTGGTGATGGCGACGGCGACGACGTCACTTCTCCTTTTCCATTAGTCTTATTACTACTCTGATTATTGCTGAATGGTTTTGTATTCATTTGTTGGAGATGAGAATTGAGATTGTTTGTGGTGGTGAAAGTCACACAAGTTATTGCTGACTTCTTGACCTCCCGTAGTTATTGGAATTATTGTTATTGTTCGCGACGGCGACGACGAGGAGGGGCGAGTCGCTTTCATTTTCCTCCATCATCATCATCTTTGTCGTCTTTTATGATAGCTTGGCCCCTTCTCGTCGTCGACGCTGTCTTGCCCACCACTCTCACTTTTGTCTTCATTACTGAGATCATTGTTCTCTGCACGAGGTGGGACAGGGGCCGGAACGAGGATAGGACCACCTCCAGAGGTGAAACCTCCGGCATAATTATTCGATATAGTAGCGAATCCCTTTTCCTCCTCCTCCTCCATTTTTGACGTAGTGGGACGTGCTGTTGTTGTTCTTGAGACAAAGCTGCTCCGCTTCACGGACAAATGTGGGATACAAACGAGAATTGCAAAGTCTTTCAGATTTCTAGAGTCCAATCAAGGCAGTTCCTCCTCCTCCTCCTCCTTCAGGGATGGAGTACATTCCACCCCCTGCTCCATTCAGGCTAGGTCAGCAAAGATTAGGATGATTAAGATATCTTCAAATTATGTTAGTAATCAATAAAGGTTATCAACCTACTTTAGTTGAGTCTGAGTATTAAGGTCGTGCTCATTCTGGAGAACCTTTTCCCTCTTTCGACTACTCTTCTTGCTCCATTCCAAGTCTTTCATGAGGATAGCACAGAAGCAAAGGCTAAATAAAAACACCCGGCGTCCACCAACAAGGTCACTCTCCAGCTGGTCGCTTCTGCAAATCACGAAAATCATCTATTAATTAATTAATTAGTAATTAATATTCTCTACTTCCGGGACTCACCAATGAGATAGGAATTCAGGGGGCCAAACATAAAAGTTCCAATCCCACCGCCACACATGGACAGGCCCGGCGCGAGTGAGCGTCTCTTATCAAAATAATAGGCCACTATCACAACCGCCGCCACGTAGCACAGCGACAAACCAAATCCCGTGATCACTCCGAACGCCAAAATGAGCATGTGAATTGAAACTGCAATTGCAAAGCAAGAGTTAGTTAATTAATTAATTACTAATAATATTGACTTTTAAATGTGTATAAAATTCGACAAATTGGGTATTAAAATGTCAATTAACTTGTAATCAATCATCATGTAAATAAATCAGAACTTACTGGCATAATACGACAGATAAATCCCAGCGTAGCCAGAATTCCACCCACAATGGTGCAATTCCTACAACCATAGCGATCCGTGAGGGTGGACGCGATGGGGCCTGACAGCAAGGGCATCGACGCCAAAAAGACTGCCAGCCCAGGTCGTCGTCGTGCTTTTCGACGTCCCAAACTCCTTCTGGATTATGGGGAGGAACACGCCGTAGGAAAATGTGACCCCGTCAGCCATCAGATTTATGAAAAAGACTACAGCAACAACCACCCCAACTAGACAAGCAGGAAAGTTAAGTTGGGCCAATAATAATTATGACGACCAACTTCTAATCTTATAAAGATTTAAAAATAATCGCTGTAACCAGAATATTCGGACAAAAACAATAAAGTTAACAAAATCATGGTTGGCTCCAAACTGGAGTCTCATTTTTCTCCTCTTGCTTTCTCTCTCTCTCTCTCCTATAACAATTGCTTGTTTTTGTGCCATATTGCAATCTCATCAAAATTTTATAAATTTGCCAAAAAGTGCCTAATTGATCCAGGTAAGTTTTATTGCTGTATTTTATGCATTTATCAAAATATTAACCACAAATTTGTAGAGCAGGTGGTTTCAAATTTTAAAAAAAATATACACTCCAGATTTTGACACCTTTTTTGAGAGAGGCGTTGTCAATTTAAGAATCTCTCATAAAAACTGCAACTCTTTAAAAATTAGTCAAAAAACTCATCACCATTTAATTAATGACCTCACTGACTATAAATTTGTCGTTCATAATTTTAAAATAAATTCCCAGAGCGGAGAAATGATTAAAAATGTGCCGATTTTCCTGATTTGGTAATAATTTAATAAAAATGTATCAAATTACAGCAAAGCTGACCAGGCAATTTGTCCCATCCTTTCCTCCAGAGACATTTTGGAAATCGGTTAAAAGGTAGGTAAACCTATTTTTATAAAAACTTTCTAGTTTTGAGAATGAAAACCAAGTCACTTCACACCCGCACAATTTTTATTTGGATAACATTCTCAGCGTTTGTAGAGCTGATTTATCCGGGTCCACGGTCCAAGTCCGGTGTTTTTACTCCACCCTCTCGCGGAGTGGGAGGTGCTCAAATTTGAAAAAACAGGGCTTTCTGCGAGTTTTAGCTTAAAGGCGGGTCAATATTTTTGAAACGGTTTTCGCCAAACTTTTCCTAATTTTTATCTCTACAACCCTTTTCGAGCGCTTTTTGAAATGCTCCCAGCGGATGTCACGATTAAAGTTATGTCATAAAATTGAGACAAATATATAACACTAGCGAATAGCCTTTCCTGTCGGTGAGCGTTATTCCATCTTTTTCACATTGTCCACTGGTTGTCATTTGCTGAAACGTTATCATATTGGTTAGATTCAAATGTAATTTAAGATGTAAAAGAGATGGATTGAATTGGTCGTAGTTGCAAATTGTTGCAATTTCACTTTCGTTGCCGACAGACATTTCCAGCTTATAATATAGAGTTTAACACAAATTTTAACTCATAATTAGCCTCGTTAGTCAGTTAGCGTACAGACATCCTACTTATGTAGCCAATTTGACTTGCATCAATTGTATATTCAGTGGCGTGGGTAATAGTGCAAAAAACTAATTTAATCCTTTATGCCGCGTGAAAGTCAAGTCAAATCGACATGACGGAATCGATATATGAGTTGATAATAAGCTGCGTAGTTGAAAATATTTTCTACTAGATATAAGCCGTCTCCCCGGGCGAGAATTATTGATTACCAGGAAATAAATGGATTGGCACAATTCACCACATTACTTTTGAAAATGTTCACCGTCTTTCGTTTTAACAATATGAATATTAATGCACCTAAAATCGGTAATTTTTAGCTACATAGTTAGGAGATAAAATTTGATTTTTTCTTCACAGAATAAATAATAGATGAAAATATCAAAAATTTAATATTCCTCATTGAAGAAAAAATCAAAATTTTATCTCCTAACTATGTAAGCCTAAAATACCGATTTTTAGGTGCATTAATATCTTCATATTGTTAAAAAACGAAAGACGGTGAACATTTTCAAAAAGTAATGTGGTGAATTGTG